CTTTTTCTTTTACACCAATAACCGAATCCCATACCCAGATCTTCGATTTCTACCGATCTTGATCGATACAAATCTTGGAATATTTCTTCGCATAGTTGACAATTCGTAATCGTTTACTGAAATAAGTCACCAGATACAATTTATCGATCTGATTCATCACCAATTCTCAAAAAAATCGTTTGTTGTCCCAAAATCACAATAAAGTTTTCTTTAATTACTGTATTTTTTCACAAAATGAAATTGATCACGATTTTACGCTGACATTTTTGAAAATTGCTGCAATTTTCACAAAACGGATGTACATTGACTTGTGAAAGTGTTTTTCTCCATAGATAAACTGATTTGTTTTGTTGACGTACAGAACAAAGAGACAGACATGAATAGTGACCCGATCTTACCGAAAATGTTCGACGCATTAATTGTCGGTGCTGGTTTCTCAGGGCTTTACATGCTGTATTGTTTACGTGAACACGGTTTCACAGTAAAGATTATTGAGACTGGTGATGGTATAGGTGGTACGTGGTATTGGAATTGTTATCCAGGAGCACGTTGTGACGTTGAAAGCATACAGTACTCCTATTCATTCTCGGAAGAATTAGAAGAAGAATGGAAATGGTCGGAATCATTTGCTTCGCAGCCGGAAATCTTGCGTTATCTCAATTATGTTGCTGATAAATTCGATCTTCGTAAGGACATTCAACTAGGTACTCGAGTGAGTGCAATAATTTTCGATGAGATTCAGTCACATTGGGAGATACGGACAGATCGAGGAGACCAACTCTTCGCCAAATTTTGCATCATGGCCACTGGTTGTGTCTCAACTATTCATGTTCCGCAAATAAAAGGATTTGATGTTTTCAGCGGTAATCACTATCATACAGGCCAATGGCCACATGCAAATATATGTTTCAATGGACGGCGCGTGGCCGTTATTGGCACTGGCTCATCTGGCATACAATCAATACCTCTCATTGCTGAACAAGCAGATCATGTCTTTGTATTTCAGCGAACACCAAACTTTAGCATTCCAGCTCGCGATGAACCACTCAAAGTCGAATACGAACAATGGTTGAAATCGAATTATGCAGAATATCGAAAGCAGATTTTTGAGACGCCTTATGGATTGATAGTTAAAAACAACAGGAATGTCTCAGCAATGACTGTTACGCCAGAGGAACGGCAAGATGAGTTTGAAAAACGTTGGCAAGAAGGCGGTGTTGCTTTTCTATTGAGTTTCAATGATCTCTTATTGAACAAGGAATCCAATGATACCGCAGCTGAGTTTGTACGTAACAAGATTCGTGAAATTGTCAAAAATCCCGAAGTGGCTGAGGCTTTAGTTCCACAAAATTATCCGATAGGTACTAAGCGTCTCTGTGTCGACAGAAACTACTTCCAGACCTTCAATCGTAGTAATGTAACGTTAGTTGATCTTCGAAAAGGATCGATTGATGAAATAACACCTAGTGGTATTCGTATCAAAGAGAAAATCTACGAAGTGAATGACATTGTGCTTGCGACGGGATTTGATGCGATGACTGGAACTTTGTTGAAGATTGATATTCGTGGTCGCTCTGGCAAGTCACTTAGAGAAAAATGGTCGGAAGGACCTCGCACCTATCTAGGTTTGATGATGACCGATTTTCCGAATTTATTCATCATCACTGGTCCTGGTAGCCCATCAGTACTGTCCAATATGCCGCGTGCTATTGAGCAACATGTCGATTGGATAACAGAATGCCTCAACTATCTTCGTACGCATTGTTACGATACGATTGAACCGCAGCTAGAGGCAGAAAATGCATGGATCCTTCATGTTAATGAAGTCGCCAATTCAACACTCTTTCCTCTGGCGAATTCATGGTACGTTGGGGCGAATATCGATGGTAAACCGAGAGTTTTCATGCCGTATATCGGCGGTTTCAATGTGTATAGGCAAAAGTGCCAGGATATTGTTAACAATGGTTATGAAGGTTTTGTGTGTAAAAGACATTCATTGAATTATATGACAGAAGCACCGTTAAACTAACTAAAAATAATCATTTTTTAACTAACAGGACGTTAACATTCACTCTTAATGAAAAAAAAAAGATGATTGTACTTTATGCAGAAGGTATATAGGTTGTGAATGTGAATGTGGTGTGTGTGTGTTGGTATGAAGTATGGGTATAGCTGCTCCATTATGGGTACCACTTGTAATGCCATATCCCGCTAAGTAGCAGTATCCAACCTTGTAATGTCGTTACCTTGTATATGCATAGTGGTGTTTCGTTCCGAATTGAACTCTTGTTCACGTGATAACTAGTCAAATGAAAATCGGAAAAATCGAGTGTGAAACTCCGATTAGAGAAGTAGATAGAAAAAGATCTAACTTTAAAATATAAGATAACTAGGCCATAGTATGACTTTTTATAAGCACATCTGCCGTGGGATTTAAAAAAAAGATCCTTAAGTTTGAGTTGGAATAGAGATTTTAGAAAAAGGAGTCGAGTAATGTAGAATTGAAGTGCACTTAGATATAGTTAGAGTCGGAGTTGAACTAGCAATGATATCTGAAATGTTAATCTTATACAATCATTGATGATTAATTTACAAATAAAATGGGAAGCAAGGAGGTAGCCTCATCGTTCGATATTTCTGTCGTTACAACAGCAGAATAAGTAATTATTTGAAGAGACAGTGACGATATATCACAGCATTACACGAGAATGATCTAAATAATGACGCATTCATCTTTCGTGAAATAAAGGTTCAAACGAGCTGGAAAAATTATATAAATTGTCAATGATGTGATTGAAGCAATTAAAAATGAAAAAAAATATCAATGCGACCGGCAAAGCTTCGATTAGCTACATTCTCCTCGAGTATCTTGAAACAATTAAAGTATATTTTGTCTTTTTTTTTAAAGACTGTCTTTTTATATTAGTGACTTTTAGATATGAATAAAATAATTATTTTGTTTTTCTTGTAAGTATAATCAGTCTCATTTACTTTACGCAATTAATCAATGGTGACACGTGCACGTGCTCATGTTGTACAGGAAATTCTTGTACACCGAGTTATCAAGGCAGCTTTCTCAGCAATCCTTGCGACATTATGCAACACATAGACCAATATCATATGAAATACATAACATGTCCATCCTTTGGAGATGCTGGTCACTCAGACGGAAATCATATATCAAGTAGATGATGATTATGCTTCTGAACACAGGCAAATATCATTTTGGTTACAATATTTCTTTTTGCCTTCTGCGATGTTAGACGAAATTTCTTAGCTAAATTCATTTTTCATTCTATTTTATCTTTTCACAAAAATGAGCATTAATCACAGCTTACAATAACGATCAAAAATTGTCCTTATCAGTTCCGCGTGATATTCTAAAACGATTAAGTAAATATATGCCTTTCATCTCCATTAATTAATCAAGAAAATCATTCAGGAGAAGTACCAGATGAATTCCAGTAGCCTTAAGAAAGCTATGTATTTGTACTTTTCCGGAGAGGAATATATCGTTGATAAATCTTTGATAACACAATTTGGTACTCTTTAAATATTTTTTCTTCTTTGTTACGCATATAATAATGACAATCTTAGTTTTCTATAATCAAAATGCACGCATCTGAAGTGTTATGACATTTTGTTTTCGCAACTTTGCTAATTTTTTAAACATATACAGATCTGTTCTCAGAGTATATTAGATTAAAAAACGGAGAAAAGATTCAGTTATCATCACAAAAAACAGCAACCTATCTCAAAGTCAATATTTCTTCTCACGGGTTTTCATAAAAGCAACGAATTATAGATAATGATTTATTATTTATGATAACTGAGTTCTAGTCTCGATACTTTCAATTAATACCGAATCTTTGTTTTTTATCTCTCATAAAGTCTAAGCATTTGCTTGTGACGTTCGTCTAGTACGCTATTAATTTCCAAGGACATTTATTCATGAATTTTTCCTCTAATACAATTGTTGTTTTTTCTGGTACAACTCCTCATAATGCAACATTACGTTAGTTAATTCTCTTCCATAAATACATGCTCTTTTCGCGAAAAAAGCAAAAAATTGCATGACGTATTTTTTTACTATTTCATTCGATGTTGCCAGACCAAATATAAGACAAAAGATGTTAGCTCAATCCCTTAAGGATTGAAATGCAAAATACGATAAACCCATTTTTGCTAAACTCATTAAAACTCGTCATTTCTGTCCGTGTTCGTTCATATTTCGTGATCATTATTCACTTCATCAACATTACAATTAAATCCAAATTATATATTACCTGTGATAGGCCGTTGCAACCGTTTGTCACGACCTCCGATAGATCTTGTTCCTGTCTGTCATGATCTGTGACACCGCCAAACCCTGTCTGTTACAGTCTGTGATGATAATTAATCATTTAGATGGAATTTAATAATTTAATGAAAAATATCTGTCGTGGTCTACTATGGGGGAAGGGGCGAGTTGGAGTGCGTCCAAATTTCTGTCCGTAAATACCTTAACACTTCTTTTAGATCGTGTTTCACAAAAGCAAACAAATGTTGGGAGTGAAAGTAGATCACTGAATAATTTGAAAGAAAAAAAAGAAACATACCTTGGTGGGCACCAGTTTATACACTTTATTAAAAAATATCGAAAGAGAGAAACAGATGCGGCAGCAACAAACAAGTTTATATAAATGACGGGTAAAGAGAGAGAGATAGGAAAGAAAAAGTGTATCCAAGAAAAAGAATAAAGTGTTATATATATATGAAGGATCGTGCTCTACTCAAAAGGTCATGCTATATCATAACAAGAGTTCAGTTCGAAAGATAATGGTACCATAATGATATGATTCGAAAAATAAGCGTGCAATCCATAGAAAAAGTATATATTACTAAGAGATATGGTGAAGGGTGTGGGTGTGTGGATGTGGGTGGGTGTGGGTGTAGGAGGTGTTTAAGCGACAAGTCAGAACCACAGCAGCAG